TTATATGATAATGACTTTTTTATAATAATACTAAAGTATTTAATAATATTACATTAATTGATATAATAAAAATCATATAGTCTCATACTTTTAATCAAAAAGTATAAAGAAATTAATAATTGAGTATTACTTTTTTTTTTTGAATGGATTAGAACTTGATAACTTCTTTCAAATATTGAATTATATTTAAAATACAAAAGATATAGTATTAACTTCATATTATTAGTTGATATAAAAATATTAAAAAACTTAAAGATATCATTAATTGTGATCAGCAAAAATAATGCATATATTAAAATAATAAAATTTTTTTTCTTAAAATATAATATAATAAAAAACTGAAAATTGTTATTTTAAAAGAATATAAAAAGTTAAAATATTTATTAATTAGATATCCAAAAGTTTTAAATTTTTAATCTTTTATAATTAATAATCTTGTTATAAATTTATTATTTTTTATATATTTTACATATAATCATGATTTAATCTTTTAACGTAATCATTAAAATATAGTTAGTATTTAGTTGTAGCTAAGCCTTATTTTTTAGCCATTAGTCAATTTAGCTGATTGGCTAAAATCAGCAGTCAAATTACCAATCGGCTAAATGTCACATTATTTTATTAATTTTGATTACAGTTTATTTGCAAATTGCAATTTATTGAATTTACTGCAAAATTGCAAAAAAAATCTTGATGTCTCTAACATTCAAGACGTTTAAATTTCTTGTAAAATAGCAAAAAATTAACATTTCTGACATTCAAGATGTTCAAAATTGCAAAATTAACACCACTGACATTTGGGATATTAAAATTCTTGCAAAATAAATGTTTTGAATGTCAAAAGTATCAATTTTTCAATTTTTAACGTCCTGAATATCAGAGGCGTTAAATTTTTTTTTGAAATTAACCAATTATATTTCTGTTTCATTTGTGAACTATTGTATAAAAAAAATTTTTTGTCTGATCAAACTTAAAATAAAATTTGGCTATTTTGGCTGTGACTAAATGGCTAAACGGCTATGGCCAAATACCAGCCAAATGGCCAAATACCAATACTGCATTAAAGTAAAATATATTTAATATAAGACTTATTATAAGTTACTATATCATATATAAATAGTTTTATTATACAATTTTTAAGATTGATTGATTCTGATTAACTCATTTATATTGAAAAATGAATAAAATAAATCTTTACTATATTATAATTGTTTTTTTTTTTCTTTTATTATTTGTATATCTTTTCTGTGACTTCTAATTATACTTTCATTAGTTGTTTAATATTTATTTATATTAAAACTTCTTAGATATTATTAGATATATAAAGCTAAAATAAATAATAGCTAGTTATTTGTATTAAAGATTACTATATACTATTTAATAGATTTATAAAATGAATTTTAGTTTAAAATGCACATTAATTTATTAAGAAATTAGTATTTAATTTATTATTGCTTTACTACAATAATATTTTTTAATAATATATTTTTTTGCAAAAAAAAATATTACCCTTTTGAAGTACTTATTTAACTTTCTAAGAAGAATATATTAAGAAGTAAAAATTTACTTTAAGAAGAGGATCTATTTAAAAAGTATAATAAAGTTTTTAATTGCAAAAAAATTAAATTATATATCACTGATAAATCATCTTTAAAAGAGAACATAATTTTAATCTAATCGCTTTTACTAGTATAAATAATTTAAGTAAAATATAAAAAGTATTAATAGTTTATGTATTAATTGATATTTTTTTGTAATAGTTAATCAATTAACTTTACATATATTTTTAGATTAAATCAGATTTAGAGTTATTTATCTAAATGTGAATTAGACACGTTATATTGATATTAAATTTAAATAAATAATTAATAATTTATGTATTGATTTTCTATAAAATATTCTATTATAATAAAAATTCAGGATAATACATAAAAAAAATTCTGTAAATATATTTATTTTTTATAAAATAAGTCTTTACATTCATTATATAATATTAAATAATTCTAACTTATATAAAATATTAATGAATATAATATTTGAGTTTAAATAGTTAAGATTATAAGTTACTAAATTAAGATATTACAATTATATTTTAGAAAATTAAGAAAGTATTTTATAAAAGCATAAATAATAAATAAATAAAAGTGTAAATATCTTTACTAAAAGATTGATCATTTAAAATGTATAGAAAATATTTGATAAAATTTCTTGTAGTAATTATTAAAAAAATTTTCTGCTATTATTATAGTCAGTTCTTTAAGATGCTTATAAGTGATAAGTAAAGTGATAGTTTTAAATATTAAATAGAAGGTTAATTTTATAATTGATTTAGAAGTAGTGTTGATCAATAGACAGTTTATTTAATAATAATAATAAATGAATACTATCTCAGTCAGCATTCTGTACTATACAAATATATTAGAAAAATTAAAGTAAACTATCTAATAAAACTATCTTTAAGATATACTGCTAAATTAAAAGAAAATGTCTTTTATTTATATAAAATGAAATACATAAAGTTATCGATATAATAAAAGAAATAAAAGAATAAATATAATAAATATAATATAATAAATAAATGATATAATAAAATAAAATAAATAAAAATAATATATTATATAAAAGAAATAAATAGCATAGATGACATAGAAGACATATAAAATATAAAAGATTTAGAAATTGTATTTTTTTTAGATTATTATTATCAATGTCTTCTCTTATATAATACTATAAAAGAAAAGATTGTATAATATACGAAATACTTTCAGCTAAGATTTACAAATATATTTCGCATTTTTTTCTAAGATTTTATTTGTATTTATTTTATATGCTTATATAAAAAGTGTTATTTGATCTTTAATCTGTTTAATCTGAATAGATTCTCAATTTAAATTAAAACTAGATATCTATATTTTATGATTTTAAGTAGATAAATCTATTAATAAATTCTAGATAGTAATATTTAAATAACCATTTAGATAATAAAAAAATTTTTTATTTAATTTCACTTAAAAATCTTTCTTAAAATAAAAATATAATTTTATGAAATTATATGATTATATTAACCCATTTTATTTTCTTCTTTATTCAATTTTTATAAGTAGTAATTAGTAAATTAAGATTAACAAATTTATAATAAATTGAAATTTTTACTAAGAAAGTAAGAATTACTACTTGTTAAGTTAAAATTTTAAATAAATAAATATTTATATAAAAATGAAATTGAATTCTATTATATTCAAATTAAAGATACTAATATTGAATGAATTCAATAAACTTTTTTAGTAAAAAAGGAAATTTTAATTTTAATTTTTTAAGTAAATTTATTAAAAATAAGGAAATAAAAACAAGTAGTTCTAGAAGTAAAAGTCAAAAAGATGTAAATAAAAGAAAAATTATCATTTACAAAATAATACTTTGAAATTAGATATAATATAAAAAGTGAACAAATTTATACTTATACTATTTTAAATAAAAATAATAAATATTATAGTAAAGTATATTGAAATATTAGAAGTTTAACTAGAAATTTTATTATATAATTACAAAATGTCTACTAAATTATCATAAAAATAAATGAAAGTAAATATATATTAAAAAGGTAAATTTTTTTTACTAAAATTCAAAATATTATTTGAATATACAAATTAACTCTTATTATAACTAATTATTTATCTGAACTAAGGTTACTTATTTAAAATTTGACAAAATATCTAAACTATAATTTCACTAATTTTTACTAAGGTTTAATTAAAGATAGCACTGCAACTAGTTGCAACCGGTGACAAATAAGCATCACAGGATTGCAATTAGTTGCAACATTAATAAAAATTGAGTTGCAACTAGTTGTAACCAGTGACAAATAAGTATCACATAGTTGTAACTAGTTGTAATGTTATCTTTAGTTTTAGTATAATTTCACATTTTATAAACTTTAATATATTTTTATCTTTTTCAGAATTCTGCAGATTCTTTAATATAATTTTGTTAAATTTTACCTTTTTTCATTTAGACAACTTATAAAATATCTAGATTTTGTTTAGTAACTTTAGTTCAGGCTAATCAAATTTTCATTATAAAAAAATTTGTTATCCATATAACAAATTTATTCAATTATAACAAATAAATAAATTATTTATTTAGTATTGAAAGTCTTAATTTAACAATATTTCAAATTTTTGTTATGTGATTAGTAACTAACCAATGAAAATGAAATATCAATCAATTTTTTTTGTGCATTATTTTAAAATTATAATAATTCAGACATTATGATTAATTATTATAATATCAACTCAAATTTAATCAATAATATATGAGAGGCAATCAAATAGAAAAGGGAAAAATCTACAAATTTTAAGTAATTTTAATTATTAAACTAGTCTTGTTCACATGAGCATGATCAGCAGAGTGAACGAATAAAAAAATTTTTGACTAAAAGTGGATTTCTCCTTTTTTTACTGGCCATCTTCATATGTTTTAAATTTAAGACAATCATATGAAAATTATCCAATTTTAAATGCCTATAACTTTTTATATAAAACTTATTTAAAAAACTGACCAGTAATTTAATAGAACTTATCTCAAAGAATAAAGTTATCAGTTTATTTTTTATAAATTTTATTTTTTTTAAGAGTTGAAAGATTTTTAAGTTACTGTACATTTATATTGTATAAACTTCCTGCACCATAATAATAACGTCATCCAATCGGACCAATCAGAACGGTAAGTTTTTTTTAAATTTGTTTTTCTCTTAATAAAATAGCTTTTATATTATTAACATGATCAAAAAAAAAATCTTATATTCCTAAGATAAAAACTTTATAATTTTATAAATCCTTTATTTAAACTAAAAATTTTGTATAACTATCATCTTATGAAATATATTATAATATTTTGATACAATATATTTTAATAATTCCAGCCAATCAATTTTAAACAGGTATACCAAAATAACCAAAAAATCCATGGTAACGTGACTTTTAGTCAAACTAGTTAGTAAATCATATTTTCTTTTCTAATTCCAAAATAAAATCATAATGCTCTTTCTTCACGGGTTGTATAGATAAACGTCCACGGCTCAATAGTGCCATACCTTTCAATCCATCGTCCTTATGAGCTTGCAATTCCTTTAGTGTAATTAAACGGTTGAACTTACGAACAAATTTAACATCAACCTATTAAAATAATAAAAAATTTATGTGTCGAATATTTTTTATCTTATTAAGCCGAGATTATAGTAATCATGCTAAATGTTTTTACCATAAACCATTTTGGATTATCCTTATTTGACTTTGGATCATAATATGGATGGGATTCATCAAACGCAGTATCTACATTCAAAAAAAAAGGAAGATAATTTAAATAAATTATTGAAATACCAATAATTCAATCTATTAACTTACAATCTGGATAAGCCTCCTTCACTATCTAATAAGATTATGACAAGAAAAAAAAAGTCGAATATAAATGCAAAAAAAAAAAAAAAAATTACTTTGAGTAGTAGTTGTACCTCTGCTAATCCTGAATATATAATATTTTTTAAAACTTTTGTAGATCAAATGTTCAAAATAATTAACGATTCTATCCTTACCCGCTATTCCAGGTGTCTTGCAATTGGAATGATAAAATAACACCTGTAATTTATACATATTAAATGCTGAAATCTTCAAAAATTTAGAGATACCAATGTAACATGTTATTACTTTGTCTTTGATTTTCATCCCGTTTTTCATATTATTACGTGCTTCATAATTTCTCTATAATATAAGAAAAAAATCAACGATTTATAGCGAATAAAGTGATTATACATAAACACTGACACTTACTACACCATCCCATTGAGAAACGCTGTTAACGAATATAGAATGATTTAATTAATTAATTTCATAATTTATAAATCATTTATTTTGATTAAATTAAAAATTTACCCGTTAGGCATGTTTGCTAAATCGTCAATGCTAAAATATAAGTACCTTGTATTAATGGAAATATGTAAATAAGAAAATCATATATTTTGTTGTAATTCTAACCTAAACTTGACGTCTATTCCCTTGACAATTCGTGATTCAGGCTCAGCTTTCATAAGCCAATAATGAACCTTACTAATTTGTTCATTTAAACTATCTCCGAACCTCAGATTCTGATCCTGCCTACAAAAACAATTTAAATTCGTTTTAATATATAACGAGCGAAAATTCAAAAATTTCTGAAATAAAGTTTTATAAAAATTACATGCTCGGTTGACTTTTCTTCCATTCAATCGGAATTTAATTTATTCAATGCGAAACTGCGGAAAAATTTTCCCATAAGTCACGTGATCATAGAATGTTATTTTCACGCGTATCTTTTTAAGACGTGTCAATGACGTAATTGGATAAAAAAAAAAAACAAAAAAACATATAAATAAATCGCCTATATAAAATTTTGTACTCTTTTGTTTACCCGAAAGGCGTGCGAACATTTATTATTCAAAAATGGACATATCATTTAGTAGTGAGGTTTGCATAGAAAGAGCAAGGAAACGCAGAAGAAGTAATGATATAAAGGATGGCGAAAAAGAAATTAATATTCAGGTTATTGTGCGTTGCAGGTATGTGATGATATTTTACTTTCTTTACGTTTCATAGCCATATTAAATAAGAATTATGATTTTAACTATATAGAGGACGTATTGATCGTGAAATCGCCGCAAACGCACCGGTCATTATTGAAACGAACTTTCGCGAGGTACAATTAAAATCACCGGACAAAGTACTCAAAACGTATACATTCGATAGAGTTTTTGGACCAGAGGCAGATCAAGCAAAGATTTTTGATCATATCGTTATCCCTATTTTACATGAGGTTAAAGCGGGTTACAATTGTACTCTGTTCGCCTACGGACAAACTTCAACTGGCAAAACATATACGATGGAGGGTAATTTAGACATTGCGAACGGTCAAATGAATAAACATGCCGGTATTATTCCGCGTACCCTCTTTAACCTTTTTCAGGATTTAGAAGCAGAAGCTCAAGATTTCTCAGTCAAGGTTTCTTATATTGAATTATACAATGAAGATCTTAAAGATCTTCTCTCTTCTAATGATGATGCACGAAAGTTGAAGATTCAGGATGAAGGAAATAAAAAAGGCATACTTAATGGTCATGAAGAAGTACTTATTAAGAATGCAGCTGATGGAATACGAGTTTTGAAGCAAGGTTCTGTTAAACGACATGCTGCACAAACTAATTGCAACAAAAATTCAAGGTATCATAAGAGTATTCCCTTTTTTATTACAATAAGACTATTTTTTACCAACCTTTCTTTTTTATTGCTTTTCAGTCGTTCCCATTCTGTATTCTTTATTACAGTGCATATCAAAGAAACCATGGCAGATGGAGAAGACTTGCTCAAGGTCGGAAAATTTAATTTGGTGGATTTGGCAGGCTCGGAGTGCATTGGCCGGTCAGGAGCTGAAAATAACAGAGCAAAAGAAGCTGGAAATATAAATAAAAGTTTACTGACGTTGGGTCGTTGTATAAATGCCCTTAACGAACGTTGCTTACATATTCCCTTTAGGTATTTTTGACCAAAATCGATAATTAACATTTTAAGTTAAATTTATTGATTAATACTTTCATAATTTAGGGAAAGCAAGCTGACTCGTCTTTTGCAAGATTCTCTTGGAGGCAAAACTAAAACATGTATTATTGCAACAGTATCTCCCGCAAAATCATGTTATGATGAGACCATGTCAACTTTAGATTATGCTTACCGAGCAAAGAACATTCGTAACAAGCCGGTTGCTAATCAACGTGTCACGAAGAAGGCTTTGATAAAAGATTATATTAATAAAATCGAACGCCTGGAAATGGATTTGCGAGTATGGTTTCAAAGATTAATAGCATTCCTTTTCAATATTGATTATATAAATGAATTATCATTTTTAGGCTACTCGTGATAAAAATGGAATTTTCATGTCAGCAGAAACACATCAATTCTTAGTGAATGAGAATAAGAGTCGAAAAGACGAGTGTGAAGAATTACAAAAAGAAAAGGAAATGCTAGTCGAAAAAGTTCAGAATTTGGAGCGAGATTTGATTATCACAAAAGGCAAGTAATGTTATATAGACAAAATTTTAAGTTCTCACATTAACCTAATATGCTATAAAGAACGACAGGCTCTAATTGATCATCAACATCGAAAGAACCTCCAAGAGTTACAGACAAAATTTAATGATTTAAAGGCAATGAGCATGGGATTTGGATCAACTGTTTCCCGTAAAATAAATGATGCTTATAAGGAGCGTACAAAGGTTCATAATAGATATTTTGTATTTATTCTTGATTAATTATTAGAAAACTTCTTATTGAATGAATATATTAATGTAGGAAATATCGGAGTATCATAAATATATTGATGAACAACTTGATAGATTTGAGCAACAGAAAAATATGCTTGAACAAATTTTTACTAGTGACGGTGATGTTGTCACCACCTTTTTTGGTGAAATAAACAAACTTCGTAAAGGGTTTCAAGAAGCTGCAATTAAAAAGGACCAAGGATTACGCAAGGATTCTGTTACTATGCTCAAAAGTTTGCATGATGAGTTGGCAGGTCAATCTATTAAGGTTAGATTATTGGTATTTCTCTATTTTTATTTTTATTTTTTTATACAATATACACCCTCAATGCGCATCCTATTATATCATTAAGATGCAAACTTATCATGCCAAGATCGATGAGGAGATATCTACTTTGGTGACTACAACGCAAGAGCATATCGATTCTCAAAACCAGGCCATTATTGCTTGTCAAAATATTACTGAAGAGGCAGCTAAGACGGAGGTGGTATTCTTATATTTTCAAAATTCGTTTAGGAAAATTTTAAATTCTTACCAACCATCACGCTTTAGACTCGTTGCCTCGAAGAACATAATGATTTATTGGATAATGCCATAAAAAAAGAATGCAACATTGCGACAAGCTTGAACGAAGAATTATTGGACATTATCAAAAAAGAACTTAACAAATTTACCAATGCTCAAATAGATAGACTCAAGGAAACTTATGATAAAGTACATGATTCAACTCAACAGAACGTTAAATATATCCTTTTACATCTACTATAAATAAATATGACGTGTTTTTATTATTCTTAACTTAAAAATACCTATTGAATTATGTAAAGAAGCAAATCTTACGGCGCTTGAGGGTATGAAGACATCCAACACAAAATATTTAAGCGGTCACAAATCACAATATTCATCTACAAAGGAGAACCTCGCATATCTTATAAAGGTAAAGAAGATACCCTTTCGTAAAATCAATATTAATGCGAATTGTTCATTAAATACATTTAATAAATGGTACGATAGGAAAGTAAAGTAGATCTATCCGCAAACGTCAATAATATAACGAAAGGAATGTCCTCACATTTGGACAAATATAAAAGTTTAATTGAATCAACATTGACTTCTTTGGAACGATTGACTGTCTCAGGTATATTGATTTACGAATAATTCATATTTAGAATGACAAACTTCTAACATTTTATATATAATTGTCCTCAACAAGCAAACGATGAGTCATCCGTACTTCATAAACAACTTGTCGAGTTATTTAAGTCATTTGCGTCCGATGTTACTCAATGCTATTCGTCTCTTCAAAATAAAATGACGAAGTCACAAATGGAGCTTGAATCAAGTACACTTCAAGTAAATAAAACAGTAAGTATTTGTCTCGAGCTTATTTTGAATCTTATTATATTTCTTATTAATCTTTAAATTCTTTATAGTTAAAAGAGAACTCGAATGCACTAACAAATTTTTAATTATGTGACAATTTTTGTGTAATAATAACAACAAATAAAATTTTTCTGCGTTACCTATTTTAACGAAATTACACGCATATTACAACTAGAAAACCACGATTATGGTATTCATCGATTGTTATTAACTATTTTGATAGCAAAAAAAAAAATGGCAGTAGTTTTTCGTAGTCAAGAAAAATATTAACTAAATAATGATTATAAAATTTAATGGTTATTGTTTTGTTATTTAATTGTTTGAAAGAATATATAAAAATTAAAAAATTAAATAAAATAAAAGTATTTTGATATAGTCTCTATAATAAGAACTTAAAAAAGCATTAATAAAATTTAATCCTGAGATTGGATTTCAATTTTGCTAGAATTTAAAAATCATATAAAACAATTTATTTTATTTTATTTTATTATTTCATTATAAATTGCATCAGGTACACATATTTTTTAGTTGCAAATTCTGCTATTTGTTCCAGTAATACCTTTTCTATAAATATCCATATATCATTATAAATTTTGTGTATATTTTTGAATTGTAACTAAAGGAAATGAATCTAATGCTTTAGGAATAATTTGTTGTAATTCAACCCATGTATGATTGTTCAATTAAAATAATAAAAATATTATTTCAAATGAATGATAAAAGAATTATTTGATTTGAATAATAAAAACATCATTTCAAATGAATGATAAAAAATTGTTCAAATGAAAACAAACATTTTAAACAAATGATAAAAGAATTGTTTTCATGAATTTATCATCACTTATTTTTTTCAATTTTAGTTTTTATAATTAATTTTAGATAAATTTACTTGGTATAACTCTATTAATATTGAAGATATTAAAATTTTAATTCAAAATTATTAAAGTACAAATCATGTTTATTTATTTTATTAAATTAAATTTTCAATTTTATATATAATAAATTTTTTTTTTACATTTTAAATTTGTTTCATTTTACTATAATAAAATTCCTATTATAGAGATTCTGTACTGTATAATACAGACAAAGAATATACCAAATATATCATATTAATAAATTGTTATAATAATAATGGATCTGCTAATCAAATTTACATTAAATTCAGAAATCAATTATAAATTACAATTTATTTTAAAACTTTAAAATAATA